TACCTGTAAGTAACAAATTACCAAAACATCAAAGGAATCAAAATGAAAACCATTATTTCCTTCACGTTTATCTCCAATAGTGCGATGAAATTATTGTTACATTTGAAGAATCACCTTTTCAAGTGACTAACATTATGAAACGGTCTCTGTTTATTGGATTTATCATTTTGAAGATCTCTTTAGCAGAAAACTTTTGAAAAATGAGAACTTGGTGGTCTAAATCTGATCCAAATGACGCTCAGTTGTGAGAGATATTTGTTCAATTCCATGTAATACTTTCCATCATTTGATTTTAAGGTAACAGCTGATTGACGGTAAGAACTATTTTGTTATGAATTGTTCAAAACAATATTATATAAGAATTATTAATGTAGTACTTGCATATTTCTCATTAGTGATGGGAAATATACAAGCTTTTATTCAAATTGCATTGTTTGTATGTATACCTAGGTACTCGTATGTAGGTATGTTAGTTCGGGTCAAATCTCTCAAGTTAATTTCAAAGTAGTTGTTATCCTCCAATTATTGGTCCAAAATTTTACAAACTTGTTTAACTTAAATGACAATGCATGGTTAACTAAGTGACGTCATTCTTCATTCAATATGGCCGACTGTACAGCATGGCAAACTAGTTTTTTATGCACCCCCATGATATTGGTATCAAATAAAAACATTTTCTGAAAAAAATCATAAAATATCATTTTGAATCCAATATGGCAGACCACACAAGATTTGCGACTTGTTATTTTGTGCAATCCTTTAAAATGAAAGGGTTTGCTGGAAAGAATACGAAAAATATGACATCACTCTAAATGCAATATGACGGTAGCCGAGGCGGTTCGACATGGGTGCTTTGTTCACTCAGTCAATCGCCCGATGTGTGAGTCGATGGTTCAAGCCCCAGGTTGAACGCTCAATTTTCACTTGCTATCCTTCAACGCTTGTTAGGAATCACACGTTAAAAGGCAAGACCTCGTTAGTCCTTAGCTCGCACAAGGTTTGACTTCTGAGGGTTGTCGTTCGTAGGGGTGCGATAGCTGGTTAACGGAAAAAACATAAATGAAAAGATTCAAGGGGAAAATTGCCCCCATATTACTTTCGAAGAGTTATAACTTCATAACTCGGCAAAGGTTAGGTATATTTTGGTAGGGCTTAATGCTCCAACAAAAGTTGGAGGGATCGACCATACAATAACGACGTATCCAATGATATGAACAAGGAAGATGTCCAGCGATAACTGTCCGGCCGGTCGTTGCTGAGACTATGTGATTCAACTTTCGTCCTCGTGGTCAACGCATATACTACTGATATCTGCCGCAGTAACAGACGAAATGTTTGGCCTTCGAACACGGCCCACCAGCCCGGATTTTATTTCCTTCAATCATGAAATAAAAAATATATTAATAGTGAAAAAACATTTTTAAAAGTCAACTCTCATTTACCTACATGCTCTTGAAAAGAAAGAATAAGGTCCCGAATAAATTAAATCAATCAATATACCCATTACACAATTTAAATGATATGAAATGAAAGCTTGCTTGCAAGAATTACCTTGGTAGATCACAATAATAAAATATATAACTTGGAGTAACTTTCATTGGGGTAAGTTCCACTAAGTTCCACTGATGACAAAAACACAGATTTCAAAAAATCATTATTGAAGTCGATAGGTGGCAATATGAGATTACATATTCATTTCGTCTCGAAGATTAGCAATTTCCTTTTTTAGTGAATAGTATCTTGCCATTTCATTTTATCAACGGTTTCTAAGCGTTTAATATTACATGAACAGTGTAAATAAACTGTTTTCTATTTTTCAAAATGTTCTTCTGAAATAGAGTTCCTCTGAATTAATTAGGTATCTTGAGTTATGGCGAATGATCTGTAAAACCAATGTCAGTATAAACAACGCACTTTCACCAAAAAGTTGAGTTGCGAATCAAAAAAATTAGGATAAATGATATTATGTCGGTAATGACTCATTCCTCATTTGTTCAATGTGCTTTTGCTTAATCAGGGACAAGACTTACGTGACATCAAAATCTTTACAAGGATGCAGGTGGTCATTAGTCTGACAAGTGAGGAAACACCTAAACAAATTTAAATTTTCGATTGTATTTTATACAAATTTTTTTGTCCGAATTTCGGAATTCAAAGACCGTGTAACGAGAATGTAACGAGAATTACGAAGGCTTTGAAATAAAACGAAGTACTCGATTTCCATTCAAAAATGTATCACCTCTTATTTGGGGAGGAAGTCGCGAATGGAAATCGAAAATCGACAAATTTCTGGTCTTCTGTTATGGAAATGCCATCCATTGGATAGATAAAAGATTCATTCCACTGATTTCAGAGATGAACTCCGCTAATTTCAGAAATGAACTAGACGAAACCAGATCCTAAAAACAAAACCTAGCTCCACTGATGAGAACTTGGAGAATCGAAACAGTGCTACTCGGTATTGGATTACAAATCGTGTTTATTATGAATGGGTTTTGACTTGCTGGACTTTCATAAACGAATGAATTTATTTATGAAAAGTCCTTTATAATCAAATATAAGATGAATGGATCAAAACTATAAGGGGCAAATAAAGAAATCTTTCAGAAATGTTCAGTTCTTGTTTCTAAACTATTCATTTTGAAACAAAAATAAGAATACCCAATGAAAATCGACACCCATTAGATAACATTTTGGGAACCACCTCTGTCACCTTTCTCAAATCCATGAAAAAACTTCAGGCTTGTTCAAGAAGCTATTTATATCAAAATACACTCATAATTGTGTGTACCATTGTGTGTACCATTTTTGTTCGAATCATTGACCATCTCAGATTATTTCGAATTTCTGAAGCAATTGAAACATTGAATTTAGAAAGGATGATTTTAGAAAGTAACGTATTATTTTCAAAGGAATTGGCTGTTGTTATAACTGTTGCTATGATGGTTATGAATGTTGTACTTTTATTCTTAATTTTTTAATCGACCAATTGAATTTTTTTTGATAGGTGTTACCCCCAAGAGGATGTAATGCAGCTTTCTCTTATCTTGAAGAGAAAACAGAAAACAATGGCGTTACAGAAATTCACTTAGAGCTACTGTAGGTTATGGAACGAAGTTTTCTTGAAAAGATAATAGATATTTCAGAAAAAAAACTATACTCATAAATCAAAATCTGATTGTAGGCAGTTGTATTTCAGTACATGTTCCAGGATTAGGTCGGTTCTCAATCACGAATATACCACTCGAAGCAAAAACAAATTTCTACCTCATTTCATGACATGAAAAGGGGGTCCAAAATGATTCAACAAACTTGAAACGAAATCTATCATCATTCTACCGAAAGAGATCGAAATTAAATAATACCAGCCTTTGTTCAAAAAGCTATTAAAACATTTCATATTCGATCATCGGCGGATGAAAAGTTATGAAGTCATCGTTTCATAAATTAACAAACATTAGATTTTATATATGTGATCTATTTGTATTGATTTCAGACATTCCAGCTTACATTTACTTGAGCTTTTTTCCATACTTTAACTTGATACTGCAAAATAAATTGCTATGATTGAAATAATGATCGTGATAACATATTACAGCTGTACTTTCACCTGTCACAGAATTTTCATATTTAGTATTTGTATTAAATGTCTTATTACTCATATACTAGTGTAATTGCTCATAAACCCGTTTTTGCAAATGTACCCTTCACCCTTCATTTATTCACTATTCACATTTATCATTTATTTATTTGTGAATAAATAAATATTATTAGTATTATAATTTCGTTTTCAAAATTTCGCGTTATGGATGAATTTAGTTCGGCATAAAGCATTTCATACTGATTTGAAGATTTGAAAGAAAATGATATCTGTTAGATTTTATCACATTTAAGTAAACATTAGTTTCAAAATGATACATAAAACTTGAAAGTTAGATGTTTTCCTCTGCTTCTTTAGTGAAATTTATCGTGTTTTCTGTAGTAACGTTTTTGAGAGTACCCCTCATCCCCCATATTTGATTTATTTCGTAAAAAAATGATTTTAGGTAAGTGGAAATCCAGTAATATAAAAAACTTGAGTACCTACCACTCTCTCTCAATTTACTCTAAATTTATTTCAGTTACATCATTACCTTTTATAATTTTCGTGGATGTTTCAAACAGAAAAATGATGTTTTTTAAGTATAGATGGCTCTCATTTCGAATATTTGAATATTACAACTTAATGAAAAAACGCAAATTTCATTACTGAAATAATACATTTTTGTTTTACTTGTGTGAGTAAACTATTTGAGTTATCGTTAAAAACAGGTTTCAATGAGATATGATATGACCCTTAATAATTTTGGAAAACCACCCGCAATGTCACCACGCTAAAATCATCAACATACGTTTCTGAAACCATTGGAAAACAGACATTTAATCGAGTATAAATCAATCTATTTCACAGCTCATTTTGTGATTTAAAGTAGAAGGATAATTTACGCGGTAGCTGTATAACGTCATTGGAATGCGTTAATTTGTGTATGTTATATTTTTAGATCAAGTTATTCAGATTTGTTCTGAATGTTTTTTATTATACATTATTTTCCTTATTTTTTTTTAAAGGTAATTACCAATATTTTTCAGGCAAACATTTGTTGCAGGAATGCATGTAACGGCAGTACGAATGCAAATTCGAATCAGTTCACTATTATTTTGTTCCGAAATAGTGAGATTTTAATTCCTTTTTTTTAAAATTTCTATGCCTAATCTTCGTTATCTACAAATTTGTTCTGATCTCAAGATGATTCTCAAACTTTGTTCTCAATGTGAATTACATAAGAACCAAAACATAAAGGAGAATCGTTAATTCCAGCAATCGCAATTGTACCATTCGCATGGGTTCTCTCGGCGATCGCGCTGTCTCTGTTCAACGGGCACCTGTTCGATCAAAAGAGACTGTACCTGTGCGGACCACGTGTAGTAGAGGGTGGGGATTATAGTTAGAGGTAAGACGTGAGGGTCAATGTTAGTGCCTAGTTCAGTGCCACTCAAGCAAGGCTACGGTTACTAGACCACCGCGATCCCGAAGAAATAACACGCGCGCGATCCCCCCAACAAACCCCCCCTTTCCTTCGATATTTTTGTAAACGCACAAAAGCAATTTGCAACTGATAAGTACTTTCACAAAAAACTACTCAGCAAAAAAAATCTGTTGATTTTTTGCACAGACGTTATTTGCACTTATTAACAAACTCTGTTGTGTTTTTTATAGCTATATTATGTGTTAAGACTCTATAAACATGGAAACCTGTGTCTTGATCCCGCAGGAGTTCAGTTTGTGTGTCAGGAGTCCCGGACTGGGTAGCAGGAGGGAACCTGAAGTTTCGGTATGGTCCAACACCACGATTGCGCAGGGGTCCTTGTGTTACCCCTTTCAAGGAACCATCCGAATTGACAAGCTTGACGTTTACGGGCAGTTGGACGACGATGATGTGAGTACCCTAAATTTATTGGGTTTATGGGATGATTCACATTTTTGCAAAAACTGGCAATTTTTGTTGCTGAGAATCTGCTATCTTGCAAATTGATGTAAGATGATGAAGAAATATAAAGATTCAGGAATACACAAAATGTTTTCCCGTTTTGAACGAATTCTAGTAAAAGTAAACTTTGTCATCGTGTTCAAGAAAATTCAATTTTCAGAAAATTATTATCAATTCCATTCAACTTCAATTTCCTTCTCCTGGTATGTATTTTCTACTCTGGTTTAATTGTAGAAAAATATCTTCCAGGTTAATACCAACGTCGTATATTCAATTAAACCAATACCTCTTATGGAAATTATTCAAAATAAAAGATTCGAAAGTGAATATATACATTTTCAATCAGAAGGCAAGGCGAGAAAAATTATATTATCGAGGAAATACTTGGCAAAGAAATAATATATTCACAGAAAAGTAACTTCTGAAACTTTCATTAAATTATGAGCTGAGAATTTTTGAGAATTGGCTGAATTTCTTGAGGTACTTACTTTTATCATCATTTTAAATTTGTGATTGTTACGTTGAAAAAAGCTGAATAATGTCAAATATTTCAACTTTCGATAAAATCTAGTTACAATTCTGTTCAACAGACAGAGAATATTTTCAAAAGTGAAGTGGTATCAATATCATTCTGTTCATTAACATTTCTTGAGATAAAAAATGTTATTCTTGCGTGACTGATTCCAGTGATTGCAACTTACATTCACATAACCATTCGAGCAAACGATCTTTCATGGAGTTGTTGAGTAGAAACAATTGAACATTAAACTTGTATCACCAGCAACAAATTTCTTGATTAAATACTCATTTACTCTTTGCAATATTCTACAAATTTGAAATACGAGGGTGTATATCAGTATTCGATGTGGAATAAAAATGAAAAAAAATTAAAATTCATTCAAAGAGAAATGTAGGAAGACCAGCCAATACAAAATATTCTTGATATATCCAACACCTCTCTTATATTTCGGCAATTGAATTTCATTAGTTTAAAACTAATTGAAGGTTGATTCTTGGTAGGTTGTTCGATTCCAGTGTTTCAAAAAATCCGACAGTCTCAGATCTGGTGAAAAAAAGCAGTCAATGGAAAATTGTTCATGTCATGTTTCACCGCCGTTAACCCCAGTAATGGTTTTCGTTGAGAATTTCATTTATATTTTTTATAATATTAATTCAAAACTCGAACATTAAAAACGCCGTTTTAGATTTTATGGAACACACGATAGAAATAATCGATGAATCATCGGAATGTTTGGCTATTTTTCTTTATCTAACACAAGCGTTTGACACCGTGTCACATGATGTCTTATTGGGGAAACTTTTTGGGTACGGAATACGAGGGTACATATTGAAAATAATGCGAAATTATTTGTCACAAAGTACACAAAATGTTAAGATTGGGGAAAAACTAAGTAGTTCAGCAAATATGTCTGTTGGCGTGCCTCAGGGTACAGTTTTAAGCCCAGTAGATTACAATCAGTGGTTTTCATGTGCATATTATTTGTTACGCAGATGATACGGCGCTGATTTTCAGAAGCGAAGCTGCAGAAAATGATCTCAGAAAAATAGGCATTTGGCTGAATAATAACCTTCTAAGCTTGAACATAAGTGAAACCAAATTCATGACATTCTCGCTTAACACTCGGGATAGTCCTCAGATCGATACCCTAAAAGTACACAAACCATTATGCAACGACAAAACTACATGCAACTGTTCGTCAATAGATAAAACATCCTCGATTAAGTATTTGGCAGTTATTATTGACCAACACATCAGATGGGCTGACCACGTTGCATATGTCATGAAAAGATTGAAGCTTCTCATGTATGAGTTTTATATGCTCAGAGACATTCTGTCACAGAAAAACATGTTTCTGGTATACTCCTCACTGGCAGAAAGTATATTACGACATTATATTACTGTATGGGGGGAACTTGCAATACTTTGATAAATTCTCTACAAGTTATGCAGAACTCCTCATTAAAAATAATATCAAAAAAAGGTGGACTATTCTCGACCCAATAACTATATTAAGAAATCAAAGTACTGAATGTTAGAGCACACTACTGCTGTCAGTGTTTGATTTAGATGTTTTCAAATCCAAAAAAATATCTAATATGTCTGATGGTTTTTGAAATAGTGATATAATCAACACGAAAAAACTACTTTTCCTGCCCTAAAGAAGAATTTGATTAAATTCGAAAAGTCGGAAAGGAAATAATTGTTTTTTAAAGAAAAAATTGATCCTCTTACCCAACCAACCTTTTTTCAGAAAAAATATTGGATCACTGAGCTAGTCAACAAAATAAATACTGATTCAACAACAATAAATGAATGGAAAAAAATAATTCATAGAAATAATTGTATTTCACGATGTTATTAACAGCAGTTAAAGCTCTGGAGAGCCTTCGAAAAAAACTGCTGTATTTTGGGAGTAGTTGAGGTAGATGTTTATTAAATTCAAGGTAAACTAGCAAATGAAACGTCATATATTTAAATCTGTTTAAAATCTGTTTTTCCGTTAACCAGCTGTCGCACCCCTACGAACGACAACCCTCAGAAGTCGAAACTTGTGCCAGCTGATTAACGAGGTCTTACCTTTTAACGTGTGATTCCACTCTTCTATCATCGTAATTTCGAAAATATAGGATTATGTGAGTATATTGGTTGAATTGAAAGGGTATATTTTTAGGAGAGATTAATTTCTAGGAAAGAAAGTTGACATTCTATTTCTTCATCATGATACAAAAAATGTGAGAATCTTTCAAAGGAAGGAAGGAAGTAATCAGTTTCGAAACTTAACTTTATACAAAGATGTGTAGATCATGTTTCGAAAGATTTTATGAACCTACTTCAAACTAGAATATCTCATTAAATACTTATAGAATTTTCCCAAAGTAACACAAGTTGATTAGTACGCTTAGCATAAAAGTTGGGTGAGGCAGAAATTCGTTTGATTTTGATTTGTAAAATTTGCGGACGGGCGTTGTCGTGGAGCAGCATCGGCCCTCTTCTGTTGACCAGACACTACTTGATGAACCATAAAGTATATATTTTTCAAACTGAGTTTATTTCTGTATCGGAGGACTAATTCCATTTTATGTTAGACAAAGATGCGAGCAGTTAATATAAATTGCAATTTCGTTAACTGTTTCATAAGTCAACAAGTTTTAAGTCTCGTGAAAGTTGCTAGAGGAGTTTTGAAATTGTTTCTGGTTACTGTATCAAGGTGTACCATATTTTATGAGTATAGTGAAATCAAATTCACTAATCTTGAGAAATTATAGTTCTCAGCTTCACCGCCAGTAAATCTATATTCCGGATATCTCTGCGGGGAACATTCAAAATATAAGCTCACATAGAAACGAGACATAAATTCAATTATTCCGTCATTTGAAGAAACTCCGTAATCAATTTGTTGAACAGGAAATATGGTGATTTATCAGAAATATTATCATAAAATCTCAACGAAATACATCTTACCTAGTTTTAATTAATTCTCTCATTTCAGGACTCCCAATCGGTATAATTTGAATATTTTAGATATAAATTTAATGTCTTTAGGAACTGTGAGAAGTTGTTTTCTGATGTCGTTGACAGTTGGTACATTTTAATGCTACCGGTGCACAGCCTCATAAGGAATTCCAAGTCAAAATTATTCATAATTTTAATCCGATAATTTCAAGTAAATGGACAATTCTGCATGTGTGCTAGATCCGATTGACTTCGAAAGATGAACTTTTATTTACATAATTATTCGACTAAAAATAGCAGGGGACTTTGAATTGGATGTAACAAAAAATTAATTTGTCTCGCAATTACGCAGATGATAGATTTGTGGTATTAATTGGACATAAGTTTTTTTTCTTTAAACTTTATTATTTGTTAATTTGAAATATAGGGACAAGAATGAATCATGAAAATTTCATTATGAGGATGAACCTAAGATGATAATAGTAATTATGTATTCATTATAGATTATGAATGGATTGTAGTGTTAAAAAATCTTACATTCCGGTACCTTCTCTTCCTTATTTTTTTATTCAATATACAGTGTGTTCAATATCGAACTTCAGTTAGATATTGAAAAAAAAAACTTAATTCAGAGATTTTAACTGAATAGTTTTACAAAAATGCGAGAATGTGGGATAATCTAAGTATGTATCAAAAATAGAGTCAAAAATAATAAATTTCCTTCATTCAAAACTTTAATAAGCAATTTGTGAGTGACATAAATTCGGATCAAATTATTTGATCTTCATGTGAGCAACTAGTGGCAATTCGAAAAGGAGGATATTTCTAATAATAGTTTGTTCAGAAGACTTCAGATAATATAAAAAACATTGAGACAAAACACTACCTTTGTAAATAATCTATACGAGAACTAACATCGTCATTAGGTCAAAAAAAATTCAGGTTCCTAGTTTACTGTAAAATCAATATGTGGGATATGTTATATTTCATTTTTGTGTGTATTCATATGTATCAAATAGTATTTTATTAGAAAAAAAATTAAATTTTGATTTTGCCCGTATTATGTTAAAGATTAGATGTTTTCAAATCCAAAAAATATACAGCAACATCTTAAAAAAAGCTAGATTTTCTGAAAACTTAAATGTTAGAACCCCTTATTACTGAAAGATCGACCCAATAACTATATTAAGAAATCAAAGTACTGAATGTTAGAGCACACTACTGCTGTCAGTGTTTGATTTAGATGTTTTCAAATCCAAAAAATATACAGCAACATCTTAAAAAAAGCTAGATTTTCTGAAAACTTAAATGTTAGAACCCCTTATTACTGAAAGTCCCATACACAAAGATTCGTCTTATTTTCTGGCCAAAATTATATAACCAGCTTCCCATGAAGCATAAAACGATTTCATAAAATAAAGAGTTCAAACATCCTATTAAGAAGCATATATTAACAAAAATCTGATGTACTCAA